AAGCTATAGAGAACTTGGAAAAATGCAGTAATGTGTCCTTACGTGTTCCCTTTGAGTCTTACGTGTGTGAGTAGTGAATAGTAGCTGATACACATGGGAGAGGAAAGATTGCCTTGGGAGCCTGACGGTTAATTTGTCGCTTCTGTGAGCAACCGTATTCTGAACCTCATTGATCCCTGAAGTAAGTTCTGGCCCAGCCCAAATGAAGAGCAAAGCTCATGATGTGGGTTTTAGGCCAGTTTTTTCCCTTTCTCTCACTTGTGTACGCAGATGCGCAGTTGCCAGTAGAAAGAGCTGCATTTGATTTCTGAAATACCAGCCGGTTGCTCAGTGTTCAGGCAGTGCGGTGTGAAAGCCTCTACAGGCAAGTACTCGCAAAATAATGTTGATGTTCAGTAATTGAAGAAAATGGGAAGGAAAGCCTGACTGATGTGCAAAATATAAAGTTTGATGGTGCTTGTGATGATACTATCTTCAGAAGAAGAAGGGTATTTTCCGTGTTGCAGCATCGGTAATTGCTAATGAAAAGTGGAGGGGATTACAGAGTTCAGGTATGATTTCATTGCAGAAACTTGTCATTTGCTATAAACCCGAAGTGAACAGCCTTGCCTTTTTTCCCCTAAATTTGCACTCTTAAAAAAAGTATTTTGCCTTTATGAGAAATAAGAAATTATTAAAAATGTAAACCGGAATAAAATAGCAAACCGGCAATCTCTACAAATTGCTAATTGACAGGTGTTGCCGTGATTGAAATGTTGATTACTTGGAACCTTGGCCTGAATATCAGAAGAGTTAATTACATGCAATTTACTTCGCTAAGGAGATTATATTACAAAAGTAAGGACAAGACAAGCTCTGGCATGATCACAAGGGAAAGATTTATGTTTGTAACTTCACAATCAAAGAAAAAAGCCCCCAAAAACCTGTGCTGATTTTTTATTGAATGCTGTGATTTGGGCACTTGTATGTGAACTATTATACCTTCCATTATGGAAAGTTGTGTTAACAAACAACAAAAGTGTTACGTTTAATTTTAGAGGTGGCTGTGTTTCACATCAACATGAACTGATTTCCAGCAATCGTCTCGTAAATCATCTTTAGTTCGTGACTGTTTCAATCTAAAGGTATTTTTATTGCGAAACTCAACTGTCCCCTTGGTGAATCAGAACCTGTTAGTGCCGCTGCAGCTTGCTTGGGGTGCTATAGTTTCCCCAACCATCTCATGCTCTACCTGTCATTAGGTTGTAAGTCCTCTCTGAGAAACGTTAGATGAAGGTTGTCTCAGCCTCTTCTACATAGGCCTGAAGGGACAGACACTCATTTTACTTCCCTCATATTCTGGGATAACTTCAGGAGCTGAGGGTGTTGAATTCTGGCTCTCTTCATAGAGGGAGCTTTCCCAAAGATGGCCGTATAGAACAGGGGTTATTTGCGAAGGGAGATGGCTGGTAGAGAGTGTTCTGCCTTCTGCAAGATACAAATGAGATTACATTAGGGTCAAAATCTGAATTATCCTGAAGAAATGCTTCCCTCTCTTATAACAGGCAATCTGCTAGCCTACCCCATTATTAGCCCCCTAAAATTAGCCTACATGAAAACTCTCAGATGATGGTGGAGTGGATGCGAACTGTGCATGAGTTACACGTAACGTGGCTGTCGGATGCGATGGCTAAACCTTTGGTCGTGGTAGCAGGGGTCAAGAGATGCGTTCTGCAGCAGCAGCCTGCATCGGGCGGTTGCAGTGTATCGCTGAGCTTCTTATGAATGTATTGATTCTTAGGAGTTGCAACAGCCATGAGCAGGTATCCAGGCTTGTCTGTGTAGTGCAAAACTGGTGGTTAATAGAGCATTTGATTTGTGAAGTGTGTGAAGCTCCTGACAGCCGTAAAGGAGAGATCTTGAAAGATACTCTCAGTCTGGTAGCCATATGGTTGATGAACTAAAGGTATTTTGTTCACGCTATGTGTGTTGGTATTCATTCTTGAAATCCGGCATTAATCTATAGGTGGGTGTAAATTGCCAAGTTTTATCTTGAATGGGCTGATAGAATTTGGGTTTTGTGGTTGCATTTGTGATGTCGAGTTTGATTCTTGCCAGCGCTGCTCCTTTTTGGCTCAGTAACCATTTAATTTAAATGAACGGCTGGTGCATTAATTCTGAGGCAGTGTAATCTCAGTTCTGTAGGAAAATGGCTGTCAGCCTATGGTTCACAAATGGCTGGGATTTTGTGACCTATATCTAGGGGGTTTCTGAAAACCTGTCATCTGCCAATGGGGTTAACTTTCCATATAGAGGACTGCATCCTTCATTTGAACGTTTTACAAGTATCTAAACCAAAGAAAAGTTGGAAACCATTGCTTTGCAACAAACCTTATTCTCTTGTGACTGAATACATTTGTCGCTGGATATGTTCTGTTTCTCTGCTCTGGCTTCAAAAGTAGAGAGCTGGGGGGAAGAGGAGTGCTTTCCTCAAGGGCAAGGCTGTATAGCTTTTGCTGCTGGAAAGAAGACTGTCTGAACTCTTAAGGTGTGCTGCACAAATTATTTTTCTCAGGGGTTTAGGTGTGCTTTGTGCTGTGGGGAAAAGATGGGGGACAACTGTAGTGTCAAGTTAACATAAGACTGCTTGTTTTGGTTACAACATAAAGAGTATTTTTTTTTTTACGTAGAAAAGAAATGCAGATCTAAGACCTTCCAACTTATTTTTTCTTTTTTTCTTTTCTAAGCATGACTAATTTGGGCTAGTTGAAACAGGAACATAATGAGGTACTAAAAATGTTAGAGCACTGCACTGCTTATACTAATTAATGTTTCTGTGGAAATAGTTTAAACAGAAATAAGCATGTGTGTAAGTTTACTTAAACCGGAAGGGAAAATGTTTTTGTGTTTTTGCCGAACTCCTACGCCACCTTTCTTTATCTGCCCCTTCCCAGCAAGAACTGGCTGCTCCTGGCCACGCACTCGGGGTGCATTTGCAGTTTACTGTTTCACAGCTCCTTCCAAGGGACAGAGACTTCCTGGTGCCTGAACAAAGCAATGATTTTACACGCAGTTTCTGTTAACCACTTCTAAAAGGGTCGGGCAGAATCTCCAAATCACTCCAGTTGTAGAAATATTCATAGGTGAAGTGTAGGTACGAATCACTTTGATAGTATGCATTTGCACCGAGGAAATGCATTTAAACCCTTGCAAGTAATCTGGAAGAAAAAAAACACAAAACAACCAACAACCATCAATCTGATCCAAATTACAAAATATTTTTAGACGTGATCAAGGAAAGCAAATGTTAAATGGAGGAATGCAAGTTAGCTGGCACCAACGGTGCGAAGTAATTGCTCAAAACCAGTGTTTCTAAAGGGGTTTTCTAAAGACTAATGCTAGGCCCGGTTCAGCTTTACATTTTTCTCTCTGATTTCAAAATAAATCACTTCTAATAAATTTGCCCATTACATGGAGATTGGCTGACATGGGAGGTTGCACATAGCTGTCTCCATTACTAAGTAAGCTGGGCCATTTTTAATAAAATGTCTTTTACTATAGATAAATATGAGATCGTATGTCTGAAAACAGAAAGCAAATTCTTCATATAAAGCGGGGTGTCTGTATCCTGACAAACGGCTATTGGCAAAATGATCTCTTGAGTACTGCGGCAATTTACAGTGACTTTCAGTGCTGTATTGAAAAGGCTTAGGGAGATCCTAAGCGGAACAGAAGTGATGAAGAAGAGTAGCATGTTGGTTTGCTTTGGATATTGTACTTATGAGACTTGTAATGGGCTATTGCCTCCAGTTCTCATGCCTGATTTTTCAACAATCTTTTTTTAAAGTACAGATAAGGTTTAGAGAAAACCCACCAAAATTCTCTTGGTGCTGGAACAAATTCCTTAAGGAGAAAATTAGAGGGTGTTCTGGCTTACCAAAAAGGATTGAAACGGGCTTAATTGCAGCATGCTTCCACAGGAGGAAAATGTCTGGTTCCAAAGGACTTCTAATATAGCTGAAACACCTGGAGAAAGCATCATCAACTGTGAGTTGCAATTAAGACAACTCAAAAGGGACATGAGGCAGTATTTTTGATGGTATATGTGAATAACCATTTGAACAAGCTCAAAGAGAAGTGACAGGTTTATTTTTTAATTGCAAGTGGTGATGCTCTCCTGGAGAATGTACTTAGCCAAACACAACTCATTGAGTACCGTGTGGGGGGCAAGAAAATGAAATTTTGCATCTTCTGGTGTAATGTGAGATAAGACATATGACTCGGTTGCCTGCTCCCTCCCTAAATTCTATTGAACTGAAAACTGCCCTATATTTTCTTTTAGAGTATTTACTTGTTTGTTTGTTTGTTTGTTTGTTTTAAAGTAAATTATGAATATTTTTTTTAAATCCTCCATCTTTAATACATCTAGATCTGTTGTATAAGATTTATCCATAACAGGATTATCTTCTGTAGTATTTTGAATTCATTGTTAGGTATAACGTTCTTTAAACATACTCAGAGAACTACTTTTTTCTTTCTTCCTCTCTTCTATATACTGTTCCCACTTTCTTGGAGAAGATTTGAGTCAGAGACTTTCATTTGCAGCTTGAACCTTACCAAGTTTCTTTCCAAAATTAACTGTTACTCTCTCATAAAACACGTATTCAAACTTTAATCAAGGGATTTGAAGATATCCCTGTGTTACTGGCTAGGCACTTCTAGCCAACTGTATTACAGAACTGAGTATAAATAAAATGCCATATTACAAAGTTTTGGTGTTTTCTTTTGACTGCTGTTGAGTTGGTGAGGATGATTGTTGTATCATGAGACTTTTGATGAGACTTCCACAAATGCATACTCTGGTTTTAATCAAACTTTATTTTTAAAGGTGGGGGAAACAAAACCGAAAGTGTGTGCCTAAATCTGCTAGTCTGAATTGCAATCTGCTTCCTTCAGTTGATATTCTGTACAAAACTGACCGTACATGACTGCTTTCTCTAACGCGTGTGTTTAATCTTCAGATCTCCGATGGCCAAGGAGATGAGCGGTCAGAGTCTCCCTATGAAAGTGCTGATGAAACTCAGACTGAAGTGTCTATATCATCCAAAAAATCTGAGCGAGGAGCAGGAACAAAAAAAGAATATGTGTGTCAGGTGAGAGATGTTAGCTGGGGCAGCGAGCCATGTTTTCTGAGGGTTCCTAGAAAAGGTCTTTTTAAATATGAAAATGACAATATTAGGCGTGTCTGAGATGTCTGTTAGCGATGAGGGTGCCATGCCAGTAAATGGAATTCTTCATTCTTAATTATTTTTTTTCTTGACCTCCAATAAGTGACTTAGCCTTTCTGCTTGAGTTTCCAGATCTGCAAGATAAGCATAATTTGTACCTCAGAATAAGTGCATGAGTGTTGCCAGGTAACTAGTTAAATGATTGAGGAGAGCTGCTCACTTATCTGTTAATAAAGAGGAGGAAGTAAAACCCAGTGGGTTTTGTGCTTCTGCGTGCAGCAGAGATTGCAGTGATGCATTGATAGCAGCATGCGTGTGGCATGCTAATTGAAAGCAAAAAGCTTTCTCAAACTATTCTAGAAGAGTTCTTAGATTATGAAATGATAACACAATACAAATGGACAGATCAAATTTGTTTCAGCGAGACTGAGCAAGCAGTTGTATTTCCATTTCTTGGACACAGTGATGATGAGGTTATATCTATCTTTAAATGTTGGCTAATCCCTTAAATTCTGCCAGCATTATTGTTCAGTTCATTTTTAGTTATGCATGTGTCATTGCTAACCACTCGGATATAGAAGTATCATTGTGCCACCTAGATTCATTTCCTTTTGCCAAGGAAAAGGAAAATAAGGATGCTTTTTAACCCTACTCAGATGCATCAGTGTGCTCAGGGAAAATTTCTTAAAGCATTTTTTTCTTTTCCTTTTTTCTGTCAGATTGTATTTACTCATGAACCGTGGTTCTATGAGTGATATTTCTAGTGGTTTACTGACTCTATTAGCTGTTTCGACTGGAAGCCAGGGCATGTGATGATACTTGTAAAATTATCTTTCACTTGTTAAATTTTATTTCAACAACGGGAAAAGAGATTTTGAGAAGCAATATATGAAAAGGAATAAAGAAAACAGTTTTTTCCACATATGAACTTTTCTTTAACATTCAATGCCTTTGTGTTGTAAAAGCTGTGTGAAAAAACAGGTGATCTCCTACTGTGTGAAGGACTTTGCTATCGAGCTTTTCATGTAAGCTGCCTTGGGCTCTCTGGAAGACCAGCAGGAAAATTCATTTGTAGTGAATGTACATCAGGCAAGTTTGTCCCTTTCTATTAATAAAAAAAAAAAGTTGTAGTTTTCCCATACGTTGTTCTAGGAAATCATCCTGGACAGAGTATGTATCTCTGGATTTATCCTTTGGTGCCTGACAGGGTGGGAATGTGCCATGTTTTAGAAAGCTCACGCTGTTTTCAGTGAGAACTCTCCTGCAACTTGGCTGATTTAGTCTGAATTCCATTGCCTTAATAATTGAAGAATATTTGCTCTCTGAGTACAATTACAGATTAGATTTAAAGTCTGTCACAAAGACTTAAGAAATCCTAGGAAGAAAGCAGCAAGTGAAACGTTTTAAGTCCTTTTTCAGTCCTTTGTGTGTCTATATCAATCTTTTGCTCTTCCTATTAAAAGACTTATTGCTATTAATTTCATTTGCTTTTAATCCTATAATAACTGCTTGGAAGTTCTTATCTTAAAACTTTACGTAAAAGATTTGCATTCTTGCTTATAAGCTCAGTTCAGTACACGTGGTAGACTTTGTTGGAACAAGGCTGCTTCAAAATAAAGCTTTTCCAAGCGGTCCAGAGAGAAGATTAGAGGATACTTGTCCTTGGTTTGTGGACTTACCTCAAAATTCACAGGATCATGGACAACCCATCATACTAGTTCATTGCTCTAAAAAAAAAAAAAAAAAATTCTGAGGCTTATAAATAAGAACGTAAAAGCAGATTGGTGAGGCTTTGGGTGGTGGTGTGTACACTTTAACTGCAATGGGTTTGCATTGTAACTTTATTTTATCTGTATCTGAACAGATTAATATTTAACACTGAAGAGTTAAAGTAAATAGATTGCTGCATCAAATAATAGAATTTGGTTTGAGCTTGTTTAAAAAAAAAAAAAAAGAACAAAAGCCACTCCCCCATGCATAACAAAAACTCACAGCAGAAGCATTTTAAATACACAGGTTTGGATGAAAAATTAGTTACATTATTTTTATTACTTTTGCCACTAGGTGTGCATACCTGTTTTGTGTGTAAAGAAAGAAAGGCAGATGTGAAACGCTGTGTCGTATCCCACTGCGGAAAATTCTACCACGAAGCTTGTGTGAAAAAATTTCATCTTACTGTGTTTGAGAACAGGGGGTTTCGATGTCCTCTCCACAGCTGCCTAAGTTGTCATGTTAGTAACCCCTCACATCCACGAATTTCAAAAGGTAGTTTCATTTTACGTTTTTATGACTGATGAATTAAGTCTGTTTATGGTATGTTAAGGTAAGGAATCTGTCCATTTAATAGCTGCTAGCTGCAATTTTTCAGGCATGCATGTACTATTGACTGAGTCAGAATTTTTTTTTAAGTAATAATTGCATAATTTTTAGTCAACATTAGTATTTACCTTGTTTTCTTTTTTTAACTAGCTTTCAATTATCTATAGTTAACAATGTTTTCTTCTCAAGAGAATGAAATCTAGAGTGCATATATGATGATGAGAGACAGGCTGAGCAGAGTGAGGACAAGACCTGTGAATGTACAAATACTGCAGCAAGGCTCGCCGAATGTGGAGACATTTGATTCTCTGCATATCTTTTGCTTTGGGCAACATCTGTAGGCAAAATTGCATGACTGAGAAAAGCCTGTCTACCCTGGTGTGCATAGTTAAAGCCTTCACATTCGAATATTATAGTGCTTTAAACTCAGTGTAAGGTTCTTTAAAAACCTTTGTTAATTCAGTATTGTTGCTAAATGCAAATACACAGGCTTTGAAAACACAATTGGTGTATTTTTTTGTGTATATAGACTACCTCAGGCAGTAATACTGGTTTTTAGCTCAAATAATAAATCAGTTTTGTTCAAAAATAATACGGCAGTATTCTGCTTTGCTAGGAAAGATGATGCGTTGTGTTCGCTGTCCTGTTGCATACCATGCTGGAGACGTTTGCATTGCTGCGGGATGTGCAGTCATCGCTTCCAACAGCATTGTTTGTACGAATCATTTCACTGCCATGAAAGGAAAAAGTCATCATGCGCATGTCAATGTGAGCTGGTGCTTTGTGTGTTCAAAAGGTAAACTGATGTAAAACTCTTTCATAAATGCAGCATCAAAACATTTTATTCTTCAATTTAGATTTCATTTTACTAATCTGTTTATAGAAAATTATTAGCAATGTGGCATATTAAATTAGGCTCCGTTAGGTATTGAAATAACTTCAGGCTGGCTGGTGCTGCTTCAAGTTTTGAGTATCCTTATTTTGCAGATACAATTTATTGAAGAATGATTTTACTTGGACTTTGTCCAGCAACCAGAAGCCTGATTTAATTCTTTGCCAGAGACGTGTAATGAGAAGTATTTCTCTGTTCTTTCCCCTGTGTGCAATGTACTGAAGCTTTTTGTGTTTCTTTATTGCTAATACGTAATATTAAAACATAAATATTTTAAGAGTTGCTTTTAGTTTAGCAGCAGACAGCCAATTGAATCAGTATTAGTTGTTGCTGGGAGTGCCACTAATTAAGGGTGTTTTGGTTTATGTTGTATAATAAATTTATTTCTTATTGAGAACCACAAAATGCATCGTGCTGATTAAACTATAGCAGTGAAAGTTTACCTGATTTGTTAACAAATTAACATGCAGGATAGCAGCTTGTTAAGCTGCAGCTAACTTTCCACTTGATAATTCATGGAACAAACTAACGACCTCATTCCCTCTCCCCCCAGGAAAAAAATCATAAGAGAAATCTGTTGTTAAAATTTTGCATACAGTGAAATATTAATATATATTAAACTATGTTAAATATATCATAGTCATTGAAGTAAAACAAATTAATTCTAATTGGCGGTGCATTATTCTGGCGTTTTTATCACTAGCTTGCTTGTTATTTTGTATGTATTACTAATCCAAGTCTGCCAGGCATTCAAATCAGTACGGACCTTTTGGGTTTTGTACACAACTAAATTATATGTATTTGTTGCAGGCCAGCATGTTTTAACCATTTATTTTCTAACTGAACCTACCACATGTGTTATCGCACTGCTTTGAACCTGGTTGGAATGCAAAACTTTTATTTCTGTCTTGATGTTTTTCAACTTTTTTTTTTTCCTCTCTCTGAAGGAGGAAGCTTGTTGTGCTGCGAGTCATGTCCTGCAGCGTTTCACCCAGACTGTTTAAACATTGAAATGCCAGATGGGAGCTGGTACTGCAATGACTGCAGGGCGGGGAAGAAACTCCATTTCCAGGATATTATTTGGGTTAAACTGGGAAATTACAGGTCTGATGAACGGATTTCTTTTGTTTTACAGTACTGGCATGTTTAATTAAGGATCATACAATTGGTTGCTTCTGTAGGCCAGCCTTGCTGCACATAGATTTCTCATTCCTCTGTAAACTAGGGACCCCATCTCCTTGCAAGAGAGTTGTTGCTCTCTGCCAAGGCATTACCCATACAGGACTCCTTGTAGTCTTCTGACATCTGCTTCCAGTGTATGAGCCTTCAACTCCTTTTGTTTCAGAGATCTTTCAAATAATTAAGCTGGTATAACTTGTAATTGGCTAAATTACTACCTTGCAGGCACGCAGGTTGTCAGTGTTTTACACTTCATTGAGATTTGAGTGAGATAGAGGTGGGTGGGGTTTATCCTAGAAAGCATTAATAGCTATTATCAGCTGTCTCTTGATCTTTGACAATTACAGTGATTGCAGACCTTAGTAAAGATGGTGTTTTTGCTAACCAGATGCAAGGAGCTTTATGTGTATGCTTATCTTGCAGGCACGCAAAAGTCCCACAGATTTGAGTGTCGGGCTTTGCTTTTCTAGCCCTGTCTTCTCTCGTTGCCTAGTGAGTCGGGGAGGAGGAAAGAATTTTAAATCCACTTGGATCTTGGAAATAATCAGTTACTGCTGCTTAGGGTGATTTTGTTAAACTGTCTCTTGCAGAAAGAGCTTGACTAAAATGCTGTGTGTTTTTATTTGTACTTCTGTGCTAGGTGGTGGCCTGCAGAAGTTTGCCATCCGAAAAACGTTCCCCCAAATATCCAGAAAATGAAGCATGAAATCGGAGAATTTCCTGTGTTTTTCTTTGGTTCTAAGGATTACTATTGGACGCACCAAGCACGGGTGTTCCCTTATATGGAGGGAGACAGAGGGAGTAGATACCAGGGGATCAAAGGAATTGGAAAAGTCTTCAAAAATGGTACATAACTAAAAGTAAACAAAATAATCTTGTGATATGCATGCTTTACTTTCTTCACACATAGCCTTGGGACAGGTTTTGTACGTTTGTTTTACAATATTGAATTTAAAAAATTGTTTTGGTGTCTGGGGCAGCAGTCATTATTACTAACTTTGAATGAAACCATTATTTTCATGGCTTGTAAGAGAGTAGCATCTAATTGGAATTATTTCTGATGATTTTTACTTTCTGGAAAGGAAATATTATAAGTGTAACTGGAAGACAGAAAGAGTAGATTGATACATCTGTTAAGAGTATTAACACTCCAGAAGCATTGTTTGCAAGAAAACTGAATGATGGAACTAGGAAATAGAAAATGATTCTTTGTTTAACACACATGGGGATGAGCAAGTCGACCTGGGGGGGAAGTAATCCTCTTTCTAGCATTTGTTGATACAAGAATCTTTTTTAGCTTTGCAAGAAGCTGAAGCTCGATTTCGAGAAATAAAGCTACAGCGAGAAGCCAAAGAAACCCAAGAAAGTGAACGTAAACCTCCACCATACAAGCATATTAAGGTACAGTTTGAGGAAATTAGACTGGATACTCAAAGGTCTAAGCCAACCCTGGAGAGGAAGAGCTGAATGGTGAGATGGGGAGGAGAGGTTGTAATGATGTGCTGGTAATTGTGCTTTTAGAATCATGAGATGATGAAATTTTGCTTCCATTGGAACATCTAGTGTTGCAAAAGCAAATTAGTAACCACTGTAATAACTCTTACAATAAATTCAAATGTTTTAAAGTGATGTTTGAACTATTTTCATGTGTTATTCAGGTGAATAAACCTTGTGGTAAAGTGCAGATATATACTGCTGACATTTCTGAGATTCCCAAGTGCAACTGCAAACCCACAGATGAAAACCCTTGTGGCTTTGATTCTGAGTGCCTAAATCGGATGCTGATGTACGAATGCCATCCACAAGTTTGTCCAGCGGGAGAACGGTGCCAAAACCAGTGCTTTACAAAACGTCAATACCCTGAGACAAAGATCATCAAAACGGATGGGAAAGGGTGGGGTCTGGTCGCTAAGAGGGACATTAAAAAGGTATGAATCATTCTTGCCTAGCAAAGAATTGGTGACTTGTGATGCTGTTTGTGGGTTTGGTATATACTTTACTAGTGATACGTGGTATCTTTCAGGGAGAGTTTGTGAATGAGTATGTCGGTGAGCTGATTGATGAAGAGGAATGTATGGCAAGAATCAAATATGCACATGAAAATGACATTACCCACTTCTATATGCTTACTATTGATAAGGTAGAGTATTTTACATTTTCTTCTGTTATTTAACTGTAAAATGATTTCCTTCTGTTGATCACCTTGGTAGGGCACTCTGCTACCTGTGATGTTCCACAGTTTCATATATTTACAATGTTGTATCTTCTGTGGCTGCTTGCTATATATATATATAAAAAAATGCATATCATTAGTTCTAACTATGTAATGTAATAAAGTATATATCAAGGTCTATAAATTGTGTTTTTCTGCTTGAAATCAAGTACAGAAAAAGTATTTATCTGCCTAGTTTTAAAAGGAAGTATGAAGTTTCAGGAAATGGAATCATAGAATAGTTTGGGTTGGAAAGGACCTTTAAAGGTCATCTAGTCCAACCCCCCTGCAATGAGCAGGGACATCTTCAACTAGATCAGGTTGCTCAGAGCCCCATCTAGCCTGACCTTGAAATGATAATGATTACAGTTGAAAGAATTAGTTAGCAATCTTTTACTAAAATTTCAGCAACAAAAAAAAAATTCTCACTTGAGAGTAGTGTGGAATATAGTTGTGAGGCTGTGTCCTGTAATGGGCATTTAATCTTTTTTGCAACTACCTGTCCTTTTCTTTGTTTATAGCAAAAGTAGGCTTCTGCTTTTGTAGAAACTCTTTTCTGAAAGCACTGTCTGCATTAGTAGCCAGCCAGCACTTCACAAACCGATTCTGCAGCAAATTAATTCAGCAGATTAATTAACGCAGGGAATTAATCCAGCATCTGTCATTCTCTGTGCATACCTCTGAGTATTTTGTTCCCGAGAAGCATAAGAAAGTGGAGAACCCGGACAGTAGGGGGTATTGATTATATACATTATATTGCTTCAATGCCCAAACAGCTACTTAGGAGAAAAACAAGAGTTGGCTGTCAGTCCTGCATATTTTTTCAGTCCTAATCACCCTTCTTTTGCCCGAAACGGTCCTCCTCTGTATTTCCACAGCTACTGTTTTCATTAGTCCTGTAACTGAGGAGTTCCTGCACAGGAGTTATCACCTAAGAAGGATGAAACCATGTTTCTCTGAACACTTCGGTTTCTCACCCCTCTACTAAACTGACACACAATGTCAGTGTGTTAAATATCTGAACTGAACATGTATTTGACTCTTGCCGTAGTTAATAAATGATCATTGTGGTTCTGTCTTTCAAAAATGCCCGTGCCATTATGAGGCTGAGCTGCACGTGCAGTTAGAGTGGCTGGATTTACGTGCACATAGTCATGACAATCATACATGGGCATTATAAAGATGAGTTAGAAGGAAACTGTAATAATTGTTCGTAAATAAGCAAAGCTATCTTAAGCAGCCCTGCAAAGAATCACAGTTTCAAAATTCTTCTGGCTATTTCAAGACTTTATTTTATTTTGTTAATGTCTGGTATGTTTGGTGGAGATAGAAATTAAAACGCAATTGTGTGTAGGGATGGGATTTTTTTAGTTTACCAAGAGCTTGTTTTTGTTTAAACTAGGCTGATTTGGGGAAAGACAGCTGGTGAGAAACTGGTAATCTCTGCAAGTAATCATGCAGTGACTTGGTAAATACCATAAAGCACAGTATTTGTAAATGCGTCACAGCTTTGTGAATGCAAAGTAAAAGGTAAATGGACTGAGTTAGAGTTTTGAGGCTTTTTGGAGGGTGGGGGCTCTTAAGATGACCACCACGATGCTCACAAGAACACTTATCCTGCCACGTGGCTGAGATGAGGTCTGGGAAAATGTGAGCTAGAGCACGAGTATTGCTTTGGGAGTGTCACATTCCAGGCCACATGAGACACTACAGTTTTCAATACAACATGTACCATCGGTTTGCTTGTGTGCTTCTTGGTAGCAACACCATGTCTGTTTTGAATGCAACTACTGAAATAATTTATGAATTTTTTTTTTTTTTTGAGGGGGGGAGAAAAAACATTCATTCTGTTGCTGGTTTGATCTCCAGGACCGTATTATTGATGCTGGCCCCAAAGGAAACTATTCTCGTTTTATGAATCACAGCTGCCAACCAAATTGTGAAACTCTAAAATGGACAGTAAATGGAGACACTCGTGTTGGCCTGTTTGCTGTGTGCGATATTCCTGCAGGTATATCAGTTTATGTTGGTTTTGGTTTAATTCCCTAAGTTAAACCTTTTGCACAGTTATGAGTGGGACAGTCATGGTTTAACTGATTCAGTGCAAATATTTTTGTAGAGAACTCAGCATGTGGAAGAGGTGCTTTGTGATCTGCCTTTTATTTAATGTTTCTTAATAGTGAGTCCCATGGCTGCTTTTTGTTGCTTGCTTCGAAGCGAACACCGAAGAACCCCTAGTCAGTATCCGTGCATTCACTTTGTGTTGTAGAGCATAGTTTTTGTTCTAGAGATCTCAAACAATATTTCTGTATCTTTTGTTCAAGTGATGATAATAAACTTAAGGAGTGGGGCAAGAAGGATGTTTAAAAATGTGTATGTTTCGGTTTGTGTACACACATGAGCGTGCACACACATATGTATCTATTTATATCTATAACTATATCTACCTGTCTAGATATATGGATATATATAACGTGTGTGTGTGTGTAGACCAGTTTGTGAAGTCAAACCGATTTATTTTAAAATGTAATTGCATAAGACATCGTGCTGTACTGGCATCTAGTTAATCATTGTCAGTGCCTATGAGCAGTAAAGAGGGGGAAAATCCTATGATAATAGATCAGCAAGCAAGTACAAAACCAGAAGACAGATAGCGAAACCTTTATTTGTTTGTAATAATTTTAATAGACTTTGTTACCTCGTCCTTCATAATGAAAGGGTATGTCTTATCTCACTCAGGGACGGAGCTGACTTTTAATTACAACCTTGACTGTCTGGGCAATGAAAAAACAGTCTGCAAATGTGGTGCCCCAAACTGCAGTGGATTTCTTGGGGACAGACCAAAGGCAAGTAATATGTCAAGAGAATTTGACAATGTCTTGTCAAACTACTAGCCTTGTTTTTCTTTTGGGGTATGTGTGGGTAGACCAGTTTTATGTTATGATAAGGGTTAATGCTGCTTAAACAGATGCTAGCTGTCCTCTGAGAGAAAAGCTTACTGTTTCCCTTGCTGGGAAGATGGAAACATTCTTTTGCCAGACATAACCTTGGTGCTAAAGAATACATTTTTATGCTGTAATAGTACAGCAGGCGATACTGCTTTTGGGAACACCCTGAAATATTTTCTCCCACTTTCTCCTATGAGAAATTAATTACTTTAGGTCCTGAATAAGAAATATTGCTAGCTACTGGTGCTAGCTTTTGGAATCAAAAGCATATAAAAGAAGGGGTGGTAGAGGGAATAACCTTCCCAGTCCTGTTTGAAGTATGAAGGAGGGGAAGGGTTGTAGGAGCTAGGAACTAAGAATTAGCCTGACTATAGCCAGTGAGATTATTCTGACATTGCAGTTAATATTTCCCCCATCTAAACCTTAAAATATGATTATTTTATTAAGATTCGTTAAAAATCTTTCAGTTGAACTGAAGAATTTAAATAAAGTTTTGAAATGTAAACATAAAGAAAAAATGATACCAAATTACGTCAAGAAATGGCCTGTATGATTCATGTCAGGTTAATTTAAAACCTGTAATCCTGGAGAAGTTGATGGGGCTTCCTGAGGGACTGGCATAGGAGTGCGAGGGAAGGCACAAGTACTTTCCCAAGAGAAAAAAAATATCTCCTGTGGATGTAGAAAGGCTGCACCTTTACACTGCTCAGTATCAGGCGCTCCAGAGGATGGACTTAAAATCTCCAGAATTCGCATAGCTGTTTTTTGTTAAGGGAGAGGCTTAAATGAGGTTTCACATAAGCTTGTGATCAATTTATCCAGCCAGCCATGAAGAAGTGAAATGTTACACTTCATTTTTGCAGGGCTGTCTGCATTGGTAGATAGAATAGGCTAATTTTAAAGAAAGTAGTTAATGATTACCGGGGTGAGGGGGAGGGAATGATGGTAGGAATGTTGAAAAAACATCCAGAATGAATTTTATATGATTTGGTGAAGGAGAGTTGAAGTGCAAGCAGCAGACTGTCAGACTGAAATAGGGATAAGGCTTGGTATATTCTTTTTAGCATTATGGGCACAGTTACAGTTCCTGAAATTCTGCTGTCTGTTCCTCAAAGAAGGGAAGTGGAGGCTGTTTTTAATAATTCCAGCATGAGTGTACATAACTGGAAGAGAAAAATGGATATTGAAGTGATTGGTGGTGCAAGAACAAAATGGAGATAAATTAGCTGCAAGTAGATTAGACTGGAAATTGGAAGACCTTTTTTCAGTCATAAGAAAGTGGAGGAGCTTTCCAATAGGAAGGGATTGTAGGGACAAGATCTGATTTCAAAATGACTTTTTACAAGGGTCAGCATGGGTTTTTTATCAACACAGATAGGCACTGTGAGGCTCTGGACAGGTCTGTACCAACTCAAATTTTTGCCTGTGTGCACAGCCTGCCAGGCATACCAACAGTTTTGCTAGGTTGTGTAATACTTTCCATTTGCAAAACTGGCTTTTAGAGATTTGCATCTTATTCTTTTAGAATTCTTCCACTAATGCCTCAGAAGAAAAAGGCAAAAAGACCAAAAAGAGAACACGGAGACGCAGAACGAAAAATGAAGGGAAGAAAGAATCTGAAGACGATTGTTTCCGTTGTGGTGACGGAGGCCAGCTGGTATTGTGCGACAGGAAATCCTGTACTAAAGCTTATCATCTCTCCTGTCTTGGTTTGGTGAAACGTCCTTTTGGTGAGTCGGCTTGCCTCTTAAACTTACGTAAATAAATAACTTGTGCAGGTACCTCATTTATTGCACTGAAACCTTGTCAAGAGTGTCTTCTTGAAAACATTCTTTTCATCTGGTAAGAGCATCTGGTTTGTGCATCATGTATGAGCTCTTCTTGAGTATGGAGACAAAATGACGGCCTTCCTCTGCCTCTGGCAAAATAAGCCTTTTGTTTTACAAATGTAGGTAATTGAGTACATCACTTGACAGGGCCACAGTGCTACTACTACAGGAAAGTTGATTATATCTAAGAAATGCATGAAGCCAATTGAGTTCAAGCCAAAAGAATAGCAGCAGCATCTGGAACAAGGCGAGTAGGAAAATGTTAAAGGCAGCAGACACTGGGTTGCTGTTCCAGATACCACAGGAGTTACCTGGTTCCACAGTCAGCAATGTCAGGTGGGATATGAAGAAGTGAAGCAGGTAAAGCCTATTATCCCAGAAACAAGTAAAACAATGACTGGTAAAATATGCTGGGGCAAAAGAGCGTCTGTAGGTAAAGGCCATCAGCCATCCCTGAGCAAAACTTGCAAAAAACAGGTGAGCGTTGTAACGGTAGGCAGCAGTTGACTGGATGTTTGGATACTCTACCAGTCTGCAAGTTCTGTAAAATGCTATTGAGTAAACTTCTAGCTGGAGTTCACTGCTGTATTTAAATGATAGGATGTCAAGTCTGCCACTTACCGCTGTTAGTTGAGCTTTAGAAGTATGATGTAGCATTTTGATTTTTTGAGATTAGCCAGAGTAGTTGCAGTCTCATCTAGGTTTGTCAGGAGTCGTGCGTTGTTCAGCTGCTAAACCACAAAACTTTAAAAGACGATGACACGTTTTACTTCCTACTAATGCACTCTTTGGTTTCGATCGCAGGGAAGTGGGAGTGTCCTTGGCACCACTGTGATGTTTGTGGCAAGCCTTCTGTTTCTTTCTGCCACTTCTGCCCAAATTCTTTCTGCAAGGAACACCAAGACGGGACAGTACTAAATTCTATGTTGAATGGACAGTTATGCTGCTCTGAACATGTTCTTGGGGTGGATTCTGTTGAAAATCAGAAGACTGAGAAACCCCGCAAAAAACTGAACAAGTTGAAGCCTAAGAGAAAGCAGAGGAACAGATGGATGAGAGCTGAATGCAAATAGTCATGGACTGCAGTTTCTACTGCCAACACTATCTTGTAGATAAGTTGTGAATATGACCAGGGAAGGACACAATTTTACATATATTCTGTAAAGGTTACATGGGGGGGATTTTTTGTTTTGTTTTGTTTTTATAAATCCACTGAGCCAACCACAGCAGTCTTCTGCTGCTTCTGCACTGATAACGAACTGCATAGTTCAGAAAATTTCAGGACAAACCAAACTTATTACTCAGCATTACAGTTACACTTGAATTGTTACGAATGTAAAAGGTTCCCTCCAAAATACTTTCAGATTGGAGGTAGGTTAAAATCAAACCAGGTAGACGTAAACATAGATTTTTGAGATAGTATTTGTCAACCAACAGATGTTAAAAATAGTATATCCTTGAAAGAAGTTATTAGCTCTCAAGTCCTTTTAAGTAAGAAATGGCTTGGTCTGTGGTCCCAATGAGATTTGCTTGCCTTGTGTGTTTTTGAGCAAGTGCTTGAATGCCATTCATGATCCAGGTGCGTATCTCGCTATAACCACACCCATAACAATTTGTTTGTGCTCTTATAAAATAGCTCTCCAATGATTCTTAAACAAACATGTTTTTAAATATCCTTCCACCGAGAAATATAGTGTGTGGTGGGAAAGGCACACCCTGTACCAGAGAGGGGAAATCTTACATTGTAAGAGATTTTTTTCTATACTGTTTTTTCCTGTATTTCATTCCAGCGAAATAGAAGTGACTTGATCTTGCAGAGCTGTACAAGTCTGGATTTAAAGGGATATTGTCTTGCAATCTAGGCCCAATACTCTAGGATTTTTGTGTCTTAATAAAATAAATCTTACAAAACCTATATTTGAAAAAATTACTTGATTTTTTTTTTCTTTGATATCAAGTAAAACGCAGAAGCAAACATTTCTTTGGAATGCTTGGAGTCCAAGCATTACAAGTTTGTGATAATGCAAAAAATGCCCAAGAAGGAACAAAAAAAACCCCGTGAATGAAACAGAAGGCGAAACTTGACTGAAGTGCAAAAACTAAATTCAAAAGAACTAATTAAAAGTGAAACGGATATTTTTGAAGAAGCACGTAAGGAACAATTTTAATGTGAAATTTAGGCTGACTCTGTTCCTTTTGATAAAGTTTGTGTAAAACTGGCTACTTGACTTGGCAGACTGTTTGAAATCATTCTTTACTTTTTTTAGGAGCTCTGCTCTCGACTCTCTTACCGCCACTGTGTTGTGTCAGCAAAGCTCTTTTGAATTCTTTGCTCCCATTCGGTTCTCGCACTTGCGGTGAGATAAACAAACAAGATTTAGTATTGATGGAAATAATGTTAGAACTAGGAAAAAACGGTAAAGAAAAATGTCTTTACCTGTTTTCTTCCCAGTGCATGTCATTGGTGTGTGATTAGGCAGTGTTACAAGTAAGTTTTGACTTGTGCCATTGTTACCTAGCCTATGTAACCACAATGTGTGCCTTCATGTCCGTTGAGTAATTTGTGTATGTTCTAGCTTAGTTTGCCTTTAATAGTGCAGAAACTCTGTGTAGCCCTTTTGAAAACGAAGCCTTGCTATATCATGAAAGTGTATGTTTTTTTCCGAAGTATTTCTTCAGGATTTGATTGCAGATTTAGTTTTTGGAATTATCAAAATCCCCATTTGTTCCCAGCTCGTAAAAACTTTGGTTTTATTAGGAGATGTTAATTGAAAGAGGTTTTAAATGTAGCATTGCCCTATCCTGAACTCTTTGGTTTCTATTTTGTGACCAAACTGCTTTGTTCTTTTAATCAATTTTTATAAACATTGTTGGAAGGTTAATTTTTTCTGAATAATTTCGAAAAAATAGCACAGTTCAAAATAGGGGGAAATGTTGCATGTTTGCAATTTTTAAAGTGGTATGCCAAGCCTTGCACTCAAGGGAAAAATCAAGATTTCTTAATTGATTTTGAGGGAAACTTTCCCTCTGCTATAGATATGTGTTATACCAGGACTGAAGCATAGGCCTGTGCCTAAAATCAAAACCAAAAAATGGTGTTATGTAAGTTTCTCTAATGTTGGGTTTTGAGGGGAGGAAAGTGAGATCAGGTAGTAAAGCAGAAAGATTTATCCTCATCGCTTTTAAACAAAATGAAGGAATTTGATGTCATTGGGACCATTCTTTGAATGCTATACCATGTAAGGAAGGCTTTATAAGAATACCTTTAAGTAAGTTATTATAAAATTTTACCTTGACATTCCGTTGCTTTTATAATTTGTTAATTTTTTAGTTGTTCCGTTGTTTTCCTCTTCATGTATAGGTGTATCAGCTCTGGCACCCTGGAACAGTTACACCCCAGGTCCTAAGAGGCAGATACCCACTTCCAGAAGCCACCATCTCCAATAGTTACTGATTGGCACTGCTGCAGTAACACCATCCATTTTAAGATCGGTCGCGGAGCCCACGACTCCCTGCCTGCCTCTCAGGGGGGCTCACAAGCACATTTAGTATGGCAGGAGCAGGACAGCCACCCATTTTGTATCTGTCTGTGGGTAAATAAAGACTTTGGCGTGCAAAGCAATCCCTCTCAGTGCTCTTTTCATGACGTTAAATTTACACAAACAGATCTTACCAAGTGGCTGTTTGACTTTCTGCTTCCTTCTACCTCTTCTCTGCTCTTTACTACTCGACTCTTTGGGCCAACGAAGGCTTGCGTCACTGAGACTGCAAACCAGGAGTTTGCTTTTGAGTTGCTAGGAATTCATTCCTTCTGCTGATCGCATACTTTGGAGATTGTTCTTTAAAGGAAATGTGGATCATGTTCTCCCTGAATATTTACTGACCATGTAACCCCACGAGCTCAGGTGGTTGTCTGGTAGAATTTTAGTTTCTGATTCAGGAAAGGAGGTTTTAGGTGTCTTTTAAATGAAGGCTTCCGTACCTTACTCTGCAGCACTGGGAAAATAGGCTGAAGTTTCCTTAAAAAAAGAAGACAGAAGCAAAGTTGTTTCACTATTTTCCTTCTCCCACTGTTCAAATACAAGGGAAAACAATCTTGAAAAATTAAGCTTTCTCATGATGGAACTCAATACTTTTTAGCATTCAGCAACTTAAAGATTTTCTGTTATAAATTCACCTAAATAACATCTAAGTACGACATACTATGTGGCATTAAATTCTGTACTTAGCGTCTTGCTCATCAAAGTAGAAAGATGTCTCTCCTTTTCCAGCAAACTCTTCAAAGCTGGTACACGATAGCCAAATTCAGGATTTGTTGTTCTTTTATCACATGAGCAAGCGTGGAAACAATTTTCAGCTGAATATGTTAGATGTATTTTCATACAATCTAGGCAGAATAATCAAATTAAATGTCTGTTTTGTTCAATAGAATAGCTTTGTGTTCATGGTCAGTTTTTAGGGTTTTTTTATTTTAATTACTTGGAAAAGCAAAATGTCTTGAAAGACGTATTAATGGGATTTTTCCACATTGTTGAGTCACATTATTCCATGTCTGACTGCTTGAGAAACTTCAGTGTCTTATTAAATATTAAAATTTATTCCTAGTTATTTAAGAACTTGTTAATTCTTTTTTCGTAAAACAGCTCTATATAATTATTTTTGCACCCTTTTTTTTTTTATTTAAAGAAGAAAAAGTGAAATGATACATGCTAGGCAAGTGTGGTTGGGCAGTGAGGGAACTTGGATGTTGTTCTTTCATAGTGAAAACTTAACGCTCCAAGACTTCCTAAGAGACTCCGTGGAAATAATGTTTTAAGCTTATATGGAGATGATAATGATTGTGCTTTGGCTTGTTTTCACAGTGTTGAATATTGACCTTTTTTTGCAGCCCAGTTTTTCCTCTTACAGTGCTGTTTTCTGTTGCTCATAACTTTACAGGCTTTAACGACTTTGAGCTGGAGTCATGCAGTCCTACCAGTTCTATTTCCTTGGGTCCGTTTAGCTGTCACTGGTGCTGTTCCTGCTTGGTCAGGTCTGAATTTGACTGTGTTTTGCTTTTTCAGATGGGCTTTAGTTTGGGTCTGGTTTGACTTCATAGGTGGAATCTCCCATGTCTGACAACAGCTACATTTTTTTTAAGAGTGTTTCAGAAAATTGCTTTGATACTAAAGGATTACTGTTCTGCTGAGATCCTCTGGTGCTGTGCATCAGGATTGTGTCCTTTTGCTGCTCCTGTGAAAAGCCACAATTTTTTGCCAGTTGAGAAACTTAGTGCCTGTCTACTAAATGGACAGTGTGAGAGAGACTGTGGGGAGGACATGGGGAGCTCTGCCCATGTCGTGGAGTTTGGGTATGCTTAGAGGTACTATCCATGTTGCTGCTGATCCATATTAGAATCACAGAATGGTTTGGATTGGAAGGGACCTTTAAAGATCATCTAGTCCAACCCCCCCGCCATGGGCAGGGACATCTTCCACTAGACCAGTTTGCTCAAAGCCTCATCCAGCCTAACCTTGAACACTTCCAGGGATTGGGCATCCACAACTTCTCTGGGCAATCTGTCTGACCACAAAGGATGATGTACCTCTCTCCCCATTCATTTATCCATCTGACACAGCTGAGAGGGATCAGAGAACTAATCCATGTTACTATTTTTTTTTAAACACAGTAACACCTCCCCTGGGCAGAGGAGAATGAGCAGCTGAGGGCAGCAACCATTTAACCCCCCACCAGCTGGGTCACTTCAGCGGACTCTGCAGCTGCACTAGCCCAGTGAAGAGACAAACTTGAGACCCAACACCTGCTTCCACCTCAGTGCACATTCATTTAGAAGTGTAGACCTTTTAATAGTAGATACTATTTTTACTAGTGCTCGTAGAGCTGGTGAAGCACAGCGCTGTGACGAAGGGTCACGGCAGGCTGGCCTGTCTGGGGTTACGCAGCACACCTACTATGTGTATGAGTTTTGCTGTAGGAGACTGGAGGCAAGAAGGCGGGAAGGTTAAGAGACCCCAGGTACTGATTTCATGGAGCGGTTGAAGCTGGCTCCGTTACAGTTGATGGGCATCTCTGAGTGTCTGGTATGCTGGCGAGACCTCAAATGGCCGTGAGGGTAAGGTGCAGAAAGCTAAACATCACCATGAGAAAGAACATGATAGTGAAAATACAGCAAACAACAGT